AAAATCCTCCATTCTCGAGAAGTCGTGGAATAAAGACGCCGGAAAGAGCGGGTAAATAATGAGGAAGAAAAGGCACAACATTAGGAAGAACAAACGGGATCGCGTCGCATATTTCCGGGATTCGTCTGAATTTTTTAGCCGGTATGATTTAGAAGGCTCCGCAGCGTGCAATTCAGCTGCGCGTACATAATTTCCACTGGTTTACGATTTTGCGGGTCCCTACCAGACCTAAACGAGAAACAATACATGAATCACTTAGGAGGCCGCCAGCGGAGGCTTACCGTCGTCGTAATAGATGAGTACTTCCCGGATTAAAACGCAACATATTGAAATATTTTTATTTCACCCACGCAGACCCACGCCGGCAATATGAATATTATACAAAGCCTCATAGTTTTAATACAATGGCTGTGGGCTTCTTGTAATATATGACCCGCAATAATGGCGCTTCGTTTCTACGTTTTGAGTGTATATGTATGTATATGCTTTGGGACAAAACTGTAGCGGATATTTTCAATGGGGACACATTTTGTTGGAATTAATTTATGTAGATAGTTGATGGGATATAATAAAAATTATTTTAAGTTTATTATTATTAACTTGAAAATACTAAAAGGAAATTGGTAGTAAAGTATTGAAGAATCGTTTAAAAGTAAATCGCGTAGACATAAGCTGCTTACATACGTTCCGGAGCGTACGTTACGACTGACATCGGTAAATATGGTCACAAAATACCACGTACACATGTTCGTAAAGCTACTGGGTCGCAACGGAACAGAAAACTGGTCGGAACTTGTTTCCATTCTGGCCGTCTTTATTATTGGACGTCATCCATTCTCAGTAAATATCTATGGTCCGTGGATACCGCGCAAGTTACGATGTTTACCTCGGGGATAGCGGGGCTGCGATCCAAGGAGTCCCGGTCCCGTCTCCGGCCGCGGGCGAACTGTTCCCAACTGATGTCCAGATACCGGCTTGTTTATGGGACGGCTTAAACTATGTCCAGTCTAACGGTGCTCATATACAATGCTATCTTCGGATCCCGACGGAGCCAGGATCGGGGACTTATTTGAAGGACTTGCTTAGTAGATGAAAGTAAAGTGCACGGGACTGACTCGATAACGGTGACTTATTTTTATTAAAACACACTAATATTTTGTAAGATCAGTAATCTACCCGCTTGCGGCAAACATTTCCGTTATTGATCGAAATTCTTATTACATTTTTGCTTTATTATCGCAAATGCCAACAATATTATTACATCATATTTCGTATACGCTGGTATTCAAAGTGAAAATGATCGTATAGAAAACAATACGTTTGATCTATCAGTAAATTTATTTTCATTCAACGAAAGGTCGGTTACAATAAATTACAGGAAAACTAATTTAAATTATCCGCATAGACAAAAGCGGGCGTCGTCGGCGTCGTCGTCGGCCGCGTTCTCTCCCGGCAGCGGCATGGTATAAACATTAAAGTATATGCAGGCCGTGAGGCGGCCAACGCCGCAGGAGTATACGCGTGATTTATGCGGTATTAAAGGTATTTAATATAGTAAATCCTGGCGGTAGTGTAGTCGTCCTGGCAGGAGCGGCTCGGCGACCTCGGACAGGAAGAGTTGATTCATGATGTCCCCCAGAAGTCGTACTCGTGCCTCGTAAATCAGGGATAAACGACAGACCAGAGACTTGAGTTCGGCCGTGCGTCTTACAGAAGTACATGCAATGGCGAGTCTTGGCTTGCAATTAGAGACGCCATTTAACACCCTGATACATGTCCTCGGGCCCGGGCTAAATGTTATTTATCGTATTTACTACTGTATTATACGAGGACGGAGGCCGACCGACGACGACGCCCTGGAATTGTTTGAGTTTCATTAAATTACACATGTGTATATATACCCCGTTACAATGGCCGTTCTCCGCGGACCTCCCCCATTTAGACGACTTTCTGCAAGAGTTATGTCGAGAGATGGGGAAATGTTGATAGTACAAGTACAAAGACTTCAATTAATCCAATTCCTGAAAGAAGAATTAGTGTAGTTAAAGTTTGTAAATACTTCGGCACAAAAGCTTGTATTTCACTTACTTACACGACCCAGTGCTATATCTGAAAAGGTATACGTGTATATGTCTATCTAGAGCAATAAGTTGGTGTAGTTTATTTGGACGATCGGATCTCTGGGACGCTCACTCGCTGACCGGGTATTATCGATATATAATGCAAACCATTCTTACAGAGGTCTTGCGACGTAGTTCGGTCAACGGGACGTGACAGTTAAATCCCCAGGGACCCCTACCTTCCTGTTTACTCCAGAGCAGGACAATAATCGAACGGAGACCATCTCCCCTCGGATCGGTATTAGGGTATCGGGCTTCGTGCGTATTTCACCTTAGGCCAACCTATTGGATAGCTTACTCCCAAAATAACTTGACAAAATCAAGAGATATCTATGTTGTTTCTTACAGGAGATTTTTTTTTGTAAATAAAGGTTATAGGAAAAGTGACAATATTACAATATTTTAACAAAAATTAATTCTTTTAGATTGGATAATAATAGTTCTTAAATTATATAGAAATAAACATGTTGGTATGTCATGTTTCTTTTTATTTATTTATTACAAAACAATTTCAACACAAAAATATAACGTTTTTATTGTTTCTTTTTTGATATAGATGGTAATAAACAGGCACTAACAACGTTTGTGTTACCGAATCACATAAAAATTTTTCAATATCACCTCTTGCTCTATTGATTCTTTCCGGTGGAGAAATTACTCAAAACTTCAACAAAATTCACAAAATCAGTTGTTTTATGGTTATATGTTATCTAAATAAATTATCTCAGCTTGCCAAGCAAATCATGATTATCTTTGGCTCTAACAAGATGGATAACGTTGCCCTAGTATCATTTAGATTTACGCCGATATTTAGGTATGGTATTTTCTGCTCTTATTGCCATGAAAACCATTTTATTGCTAATTTCGTTTGTCTTCAAGGTTTAAGAAGAGATGTACTTAGTAGGCAAAGTTCAATGAATCATTTCAACACAATCTTTCCATATTTTGTTTTTAAACCAGGCTCATTCTTATTTGTTGCATAAGAAATACGAAGAACTATACACAGCAGGAAACAACAAACTTGACTTACTAAATCCACAACGCAAATAGAGAATACACAAAGTGAGAAAATATAGTGTTCTATAGTATAAGTTGTTATACAACTTACGTAAATTGGATACAGTTATCATGAAAATCTTCTCTCAGCAGACTGAAAGTCAGTGGGACACAATAATTCCTGCTCTTATCTAGACCAAGCTGCGATACGAAGATTCAATCTACAATCCGAGCACCTTTTAGACATTCTCTTCCGTTGGGTTGGCTTGGGTATACAGAATTATAAAAATATTTTTTTTAGCAATTTTTAAGTTTTTGGGTTATATTTATATTGCTTTCAGAATCTATCAAACTCATGAACATGTATAGTCGATTGAAATGGATTAATCAATTCAAGAGAGTTGGCAAGTTTTCTCTTTATTTTCTTACACGTAAAAAGATAAAATTGTCATAAATAACTGCTAGGTGACTTCTTCTATAAAGATATGACGTAGTTTAGGGTCGATTTATGTCGAATCGATAAGGAGCCGAACATTAACATCGAGCGACGTATTAAATCACGGCGTCATAAAATGGAAAACTACTTTATTTAAAAGCGATAAATCACGCGTAATCTGTACAAATACAGTTGCCGGTGAACTCCAATAAATTATATTTGTTCTTCAAAATGGGAGTCCGCGTTCATTTTCACAAAATTACCGTAAATCAAAAACGACGCTGAGCTTCAAAATATACATCACCGGGCGGCGAACGAAAAAATCGTTGGGTGAATTTATTACCCCCGCACATTTTATTACGAGAGGCCATTTGACGGCTCGATATTTGTACATAACGCACGGATATATATCTATTTTTATTTTGTTATAATTTGAGAATTTATGCTTTTCAATTAATATTTTTTAGATTGCGCGCTCGGCAATAAATACTGATTCTATTACTATAAATTTCGCGATTTCATTGCGTGATTTCACGCTGTGTAAATTTTTTCACGTCGTCAGATATTAATATGTATTTTATTCAATTTAGAAGAAAATAGTGCTGTGCTGCATTTTAAACAAACAATACAAACCCCTACATTTTAGAGCTTATATAAAATAGAAATTTCCATAATATTTACAAAATTTCATTCAGTTATCTGTAATCTCTTATTCGTAAACAATTTAAATACGAATTGTTAACAGGAGGCATCAATAAAGCGAGAGCAGCTTGGAAGCGATGAACTAACGAGGGAGTTACATGTTCCGCCATAAATTCCGTTAGCCGACAATTAGGATATTCTGTTACAATAATAGCGGCATAATAGCATTCCTTTGTAACCGAAAGTGTTCGCGCCATAATTCAGCGTTAAAGTTAAGCACCGAGCAAATACACGCTGGCGCAAGTGTCAGCCGGCCCTCCATAAATAACTTAGCGTCTCATTTACAATCGAATTTAGCATAATAACACAATTATAGGTGCCGCATTTAGATTATACTAATTTATGTTTAACAAATACGGCACCGCCGTCGCGACGCCGCGCCAAACCGTCCGTATTGAACCGGAACCTAACGATATAATTACCTCGTAAAATAACAGCCAATCATGCGATAAACCGATCGCGACCGGGCATACGCTATGATTTCCTATCTAAAATACTAAAGTACCATATAATTATTGAATTGTCATCGATAAACTGTTTAAAACAGCAGCCCCAGTGGTTGGCTGTATTTGTTGGTTCATCGTTCATGTTATCTGCAACCCGCATGTAAATTACACAGAACGCGATGCTCTATCGTATATACGACAACGAAGATTTTACGTATTACAATGATTCAAAGCCTATGCATATTTGTTGTAATTATTGTGATTATGAATGTGGATGTGACATCAATAACAAAACAAAAATTAATTTTGTCTTATCACTTTATGTATCAATTCATTGAGTAATACATATAAAAAATATTAAATTGTATCAAAATCAAAATAAATTATTAAGACTTCTTCTGTAATTGGCAAGCGACTTTTACAAGTTTTGGTGATTCCAAATCTGCACTATCTTTAATTAAATCGCTAGGAATAATTAAAAAAGAAATTAAGTTATAAATTAATTTTATTATTTAAATTAAAATTACCGTCTTTTTTGGTTCATGGAATCCACCGCAGAACGAAAGTTTTCAACGGGTTGCTTTGAAGGTTTTTTAACTTCTTCGTTTTCTTTTTCTGGTAACACATTTACTTGTTCTTCATTAGACATGATTACTTAAAGCAAATCACCTTTACTAAACCGAACAAATTGTTGTAGAACAATTAAAATTTTCATGCATTATGAGTAAGTTCTATTGTTATATTCATTTAAATATAGAAAATGATTATATTGTAATAGGATTATAGAAACCCCTCCTTATCATTATAAAAAAAGCAAATAGAAAGCGGTTGACGAATCTTATCAGATTTAATATTTCGTCAAATACGTTTAAATAAAAATCTTCTTATCTTGTGTACTAACGAGATTATTCCTTACATTTTAGAAAGTTGATAAAAGGATAATAAATAGTCCACTGATGAAGTAAAATAATAAATCGTCAAGACATTTTGAAGCATTTTAAAAACGCTATTTCTCACGAGGGCTTTTCAAACATCTGTCGGAATTATGTCTTCGTTTATTTTTCAAGTTCGTGAACAGTCGCCGCGTAACTTTCTAGAGGAGTTGCTGAATTACGGAGCGGAATTTTAATAATATAAGACAGAACAACCCTGGAGCGGGTTCCCGCTGCTTCACAGAGCAAAGAACAAACAAGAAAACGGGAAGGAGAGTGCTTTTTTCGGATTACCGGCGAATGAATAGGGCGCGTCTTAATTTTAAAGGAAACGATGAAGGAAGAGTTGGGGAAAAGGTAACGTTACGCGTATGACAGCTTTTATTTACATCAAGGGAAATTCACAACAGAAAGATTTCCTGTTCGCTCGCAATTGTATGTATATTACAGACAAAGTGCGCCCCGTTTACTGCTTAACATAACCCCACTCTTTCTTCTCGCTATGTCTGGATGTAGATTTGGTAGGGAGGATTTCAAAAATAAATTACACGGGGCGGTTGTAGATGCGGCGGTTCACATATATATTAAATGGGAAAACAGGAAAGGAGCTGATTATTTACGACGCATTTTTCTCTAATTTACATTTTTCTTCTGGGTCGCAAAATGCAAGCGGGTGCCATTAAATTTTATTAACGTTCGCGTTTTCCTCGGGCTCGGGATGAAGATGAAATTTTAACGGGCTCTCCGAAAAAATTAACAAGCCGAGGAAACGGCGAGCGCCGACTGCCTCCGCGGCCCAGCAAAAATTAAATCACTGTTCGGATGCCCTGATACACGCAATCAATTACGTTTTTATTACTTCTCCGGGATCCGAGCGTTTATCATACTTTATACGCGCGTATATCTCCCCGTTACGGCGAATTAATGTTGTGAAGAAGTAATTAACTTGAGTTATGGTATCGTTATTTTACTTAATGCTTAATTTCTTATGGATGTTTCAAAAGTTTTTCGTACGGCAAAGCAGAACTTTTTCCCATCGAAATCTATTAACGGTTATAATACAACAACGTAATTTTTCTTTCAAACTTTCTTGTAATTTTGCAATGTCTTTCTATTAACCATTTTGACACAATATCATCACAACCAACGTAATTCGGTGTACTATTAGTGTCGCTTAACTGATCGAACATTTTGAAACAACGCATTAACATGCAAGCACACGTCGGAACCGAATGGAGACAAGTTCGTAACGTACAACGCAAATATTACAACACGTCTGGATCAGGGGGAACGAAGGAGCTCCGCTCGCTTCGCTCTACATTATTACCCAGCACTGTCTACAATTCAGATTTAAGTAACAACACCGGGTATCACGTGCAGTAAAACAAAACCAATTTTATCTAAATGTTTATAGCGCCTTTTGTAACATAAATACGCGCGTTCTACCGCTATGTGTTACTTCTAGACGATATTTGCACGTTGAGTATCTTGTTTTCTTGGGTATTCGTCGACAATGTTCGTGTTCAATCCATTATGCGCAATTTGTCTTATAACATTAACGTATTATTTTGTTAAATAATATTGTAAATTTTTTTTATTAGGTCTTCTATCGCTTACAAGTAACCTTAAACAGTGTCGAAGCTCTAGATTTAAAAATTTTAAAAATCGGCTCATAAATGTCTTAATTATTAACAATTATATAATGAAATAATGAAAAATTGATTAAAAAGCATATTGGGTTGTCTATGTTTGCGGTGATAAGATGTTATGATATGAATATATAGGAAACTGCAGTGGAAACAATTTTGGGGGATTTATGAAGACAGTTTATGGCACTAATCATAAAAAATTTTAAAATGTTAAAATGAAAGTCAGGTTGTGCATGTTAAAAAAATCTTAAGCCCATCGCCTCCACCCAAATTTCCGTAGGCCAAACAACATAAATGAATTTCATGATTTGTTAATCGATATGCTAGAATCTGGGATGAGTGAAGCGATGTTTAGTAAAAATGAAGAAAGAGTACTGCAACGTTGCGATTTGTCTCAACTCCCAGAACTACCTTGATAAGATTCTGATGAAGGAAATCTTTTAATTGCGATTCACAAAAAAAAACTACGACTGCTTTTCCAAGACTCATCCAAGTCTCTGCTATCGGTTGAGCCATAACAATCTAAAACAGAGTTAATTGAATTTGAAAAATGTAGCGGAACAAGCCCTTATAGGATAATATTGTCGGCAATCGTTCAAAGAAATAAATCTACAGAGTTTGTTACTTGGGACACTTACTTATGTTTACTATTATTCATCAACAACTATTCGATTGAGTTCTGAAATCTGAATCGTGCTATCATAAGCTACTTAAATGAAGATTGGCTTCCACAGGAACTCAAAGATGAGATTTTGGAATGTTTGGTACAGATTTTGGATCTTGAGTGTTCTTAAAATTTCCAGTTCTTGATTTCAGAATTCGCAGCAGCAACTAATAATTAATCTGATGCGATTCAGCTGCTATGGCAAGTAGAATGGTTCAATCATAAACTTGGGTTTATCAATAAGTTCAGTTTATATAGGAAAAGGAAATCTTTTTCAATCAAAACTTCAGTTGACACAAAAACCCAAGATGTAACTTTGATTATGACATGATTCAGTAACAATTCTTCGTATGAGTTCTGAAATTTATGTTTGAATTCTAAAACCTTTTTAGTATATACTTGAGTTTTTTCGGTACTCATTTTTACGACTAACGGATTTCAAAATTGAGAATTGATAAATAAAATGTAAAGGTAACATTTCGATCGCTCAAAAACTTTAAAGTCCCCTAACTGACAAGTAGCAGTATTTTAACATGTATAAGCAATTTAGCATATGCAACATTGACAATGATGAACAATATTTTATCCAATAGTAATGAATAAGGTTTGATTGTATTAAGTTATATCTATTTCAATTGTAATCTTATATTCCACATAAAATATTAGTTTTACCATCTCCATTAAAACAACACGGTATAAGTACAGAAATGAAATAAATTTTATTAAATTGTCCAAGTTAAATTTCATTTTATACCCATGTATTTTGATGGTGTAACTATTAATTTGCACACGGTATACGCTATAAAAACGTATTACCTTAGTAGCATTTTGTAGCGTACATACGTTTTGTAAAACAAACTTGAACTCATCTTGAAGGTAGATATCGTGCATGCTTCCGCGAGGTTCTCGCTAGATAAATACAATTTCCTAGATAACTTAGTTTTATGTTAATGATTATATGCAAGCTTTTAAAAGTTGGGATGCGAGAGATGGGCAAATTGGATTCGCCATGTGCAAGAGTAATTATTACTAGTGGCCTCTTGTGGCGCATTCTTGCGCTACACCAACAAGGATTACGTTTGGGAACCATGACATTTGAACATAAAACGAATGGTAGTCGTAGTTTTCTCCGCGAGAAAACTTGCCCTCCCGCGGCGCCCCTCCCACGGCTACCCCAATTTAATTAATTTAATGGGGTAATTTGATGGTTATGCGAGTGTCGGAAAGAAACAGAGATTGCCGTACGGACGGGCAACATTAACATATCTAAATCAAATCTAAATGTTAATAGGCGTTGCATTAACGTCTAAACAGCTTTTCAGCAAATTAATGGCGTATCTATTTCTATCTTGTTCATCTATCTTTTAGTTTATCCATATCTATAACACTAAAACCAACGCAGTTTCGAAAATTTAAATACTAATTAACCAAGGACACTCTTTAATTTACGTATCTTTCGTTACGGTGATTCTTTTTAAAAATTCAATTAATCGTGTTAATTAAATCTGAACCGATGACGTTCGTTGAGAAACGTATCAGGGTCGGCTTAAAGCGACTCTGCTCTGGCATTATCTCCAATTAGCAGAAACATATTTGAATTTTTAAGGGGACTTTAAAATTAGTTTGAGTTATGCCCGCGGCGGTAACGAAAAATGTGCTCCAGTCGGCGAGAACTTCTTAATTTGCCACGATTATTCTCATTATTAGCGAAGCTATCTTGGAGATGCAGGGCTCGAGGACAATCCCCTATCCTTCCTTTTCCCAACGCAAAGTCTTTTTAGAGATTCACGGCTAACCTCCGTTCTTTCGTTAAAAATACTACAACTTGTGCGCAGTTTATGCAAATTACTCAGATTTCATCTTTGCATTTAATTCTTAGATAAAAATTCTTCCTTCTATTATTGATGAAAATTAGAATGACGAACTGAAATGTAAAATAAATCATAGATTTTTTGATAATTTTTTTCTTTGTTATTATTACTTTAAATTCACATACATCCTGCGATTGTATCAACCGAAATTACACGTTACGAAAATAAACCTTGCTTTGTTAACCTAAAATTCAACATTTTTTTAAACAATAATTATATATAACACGCACACCTGGTTTGTTAATATACGCACATCTACGCGAAGTTCATCAACCACTAAGTAAAATGATCACAATCCCGTATATAATGATAGAGAACTCCCCTATCATTTGTCATGACTAGAGTGTGAAAAATGACGGATGAGTTTGTGACGGTGACAACGTGTAAGAGATAAAGAGCGTGGAAAGCGATGTCACCGCAAAACGGGAGCATTTCGGAAAAATAAGCTCTAATTGTTACAATGATCGCTCATTTTGATCAAAAGGCAGCGCATTTATCCCCCCAGTTTAATATTTGTCACTGTCACGGGGGGTCGTAAAATTTGCTGTAATTTTCTAATGATACGAGAAAGTATCCAATCCCTAACTCAACTAGAAGTTATGAGGTTTTAAAGATAAC